AGTTTATGGTTCAAGATTGATCCTTGAAAATATGATTTTCTAAATAGGGAATTCGATTCCCAGTTGAAAGGGAGAGAAATTTTTGAAATTCGCCCACCTTATTCCGCAAGATTTGGGCATCCATACAATGGATCTCTCATCCCTTCAGATGGCTACGGACAGAGGGCTCCTACTTGGAGCCTGCGGCCAGGATCTCGAACCGGTTCTCTAAGAATGGGGTATTGGGCTTGGAGGGCTGAGATGATGTGGGCTTGGCGAGCTGGGGTCCTTCCGACCTGACCTCCCGTGGCGAGGCCGGAGTGGCCGGCCTTTCCTGTCTGCTACAGGAGGAGGCCTGGCTCCTTGGAGGGTTCCGGGGGGCCTTTCCTTGGCGGGAAAGGTGCTCCTCTTGACGATGGGACCTAGCCTGCTGTGAGGTTGGGTGTAGGAGGGAGTTGCGATTGCTGAAGCTGAGGTTGCGGCAGCTGGGGAAATTGCTGCTGATACTGGTACTGAGAGACCTGGTGCAGCACGTGTTGTTGATAGATCTGAAACTGCTGAAACTGTTGCATTTGAGTCTGCATGGCCCGCATGCACTGCACCAAATCTTCCAGCTGGTTCGGGCTGGCCGCTGGAGGCACAACCGAGGGTTCAGTGAAGGTTGTTCCGACTGTGGTAGGGAATGGAGCAACGACGGGTGCCCCTGCAAGAGGCACGTTCAAACTGGGGATCCCGTCCACTGAGAGGGGCACGGTGAATTGTCCGATACAGACAGTAGGGAGCTGGGGCTGTTCCATGGAGTTATTCATCTCCGTGCTTCGTCTGATGTTGCTAGAGGAAGCCATGAGCGTTGAGTTTTTGGAGAGTAAAAAGATGTGAAAGTTTAGAGAAAGGCTTTTTAAAGCGTTTCCCACAGACGACGCCAAATGAAGATGCGCTATCTGCACTCTTAGCCTTCGTCTCCTTCTTGCTTCTCCTACATAGTACTAACTTAAGCATCGGAGTGTCCCCACCGGGTAAACTCCCCGGGGATTCTTCTTCTTCCTCATCTCAGGTACCTTCCAGGAGCCACGTGAGTGCCAAGTAGGAGTGACCGGATCGCGCGACATCAGTTATTAATAGTTTTTAGGTTAAAGAGGTGGGATGAGATTTATCCCTTTTTCTTTTCATAATAATGAAAGGTCATCGATTTCTAAGGTTTCTACTTTGTTACCCATAATTGATGAGAAGTTGCACAAGAAGAGATTGATTTAGGAGCTCTGAAATGGGTTTTAGTTGATAGACCTTGATAAGGGACTCACCACATTCAATAGTTTGAAGAGAAACTCTTCCCTTTTGGGGTTGTAAGGACCGATAGATGACAAGCTGCAGATCATGTTGAGGGAAGGAGATGTGGACAGCAATGTGGTTCTTAATCAAATGGAGTTCTCTCTCTTCAATTTTATTCCATTCTGTTCAAGCCCACTTATTTCCTATTCATGTGGGACTGAGGGAGCCCCGATTTGTTATGATTTAGCTTCAAGTTATATTAGTCAAATGGGTGAAGTAGTGGAAGTGAAATTATATGAGGACACAATGAGTTTTGTAAGAGATCTAAAAGTGAGAAGGTGAAGTATGAACCGATGAAAGGATGTTTGTTCCTTTGGCTCAGTTTGGAAGGAGTACAAATACAAATATATAGAGTGCAAAACCTTGTGTTTTATATTATTTTGTATGCATTTGCACTATACATATTTGTATTTGTTCTTGTCTCGGGTTGGAAGGAGTACAAATGCAAATATGTGGAGTGTAAAACCATGTATTTTGTATTATTTTGTATGTATTTATACCATACATATTTCTATTTATACCCTTTCTAAACTAAGCCTTTATTACAAGTTTTACAAAAATGACTCATCATCGACGATTAAAGCTTTAATATAGCTTGTGACTAGCGTATGGCTAGCTTCCTTATCTACATTGTAGTGTGCCGTTCCTGCACCTTTAACTTTCTTACCAGACTCCATAGCTTATATCTCATAGCCATATGTGTCATTTACTTGCCAAAAATCAAACAAAACGATTTACTTTAGGGATGACAATTTTTCCCATCCCCGATGGGTACCCGACTTTTCTGTTGGGGATGAGGATTGCTTTAGCGAGGTGGGGACAGGGACGTGGATTAATAGGGATCACCGACCGAGATCGAGGATGGGGAATAAGGCATGGTTTTTAAAAACGAACCGGAAATAGAACCGGTCAGGGGACCAGTTTCTGGTTAAGCGATTCAATCATCCGAGTCGAACAGTTTGACCCATGATGTCATAAATAAATAATATTTATAAATAATAAAAAATAGCATAAAAGTAAATAAAAAACAGAAAATAAAACTATCAAAATAAAAAATAATACAGTATCAAACACATAGAAATTTGAAAAATAAAATATTGAAAAATTCTAAAAAATATAGAAAAAACACAAAAGAATTAAAAAATATAGAAAAAACAGAAAATTGCAAAAAAAAAAATCAAATTTTATGGAAGGAACAAAAGGGTTTTGATTATTGTTCTTTTCCTTTTGCCAAGATTTCTCATATTCGTTACTCATTGATCTCTTTTTCAGTTTTTACTCATTGATTTCTCATAATGGATATAACAAGCTGGATTATATTTCAACAAATTATGTTGTTTTTTTTAAGTGCAAAAGTTAAAAATCGCCAACAAAATTAAAATACGTAAACTAACAATTAGAGAAAAAATCACCTTTAAGTTGACATCTGATCTGATATTGGTGGGGAACCAACATCCTCAGCAATAGCAGATTGAAATCTTCAAGTGTCCATGTTGAAGCCATATTAATCTGAAAAAATAATTCACCATCAGACATCTGTGGTAATTGAACATATTCTGAACTGAAGTGAAAAATAAAGAATGAAAAAAAGGAAATAGAAAAAGAAGAAACAAAAGCAAGATACTTTTCCCAACTTCATTGCATCCTTTATTTGAGTCTTGTCTTCATGATACTGTCAACATAAATAAGGAGAAAAAAAGTTAGAATAGGATTTAAAGACAGTGGGCTCGCCGCCAAAGGGAAGAGCTTGGTCGCAGGCAAGTTGCCGCTACAAGCCTGTAATTGCTGCCTCGCAGACAGTGGGTTTGGTTGCCAATGCCCAATGTCGAGTGCCGAATGCCACTGCAAACTTGTCGGACATCCGTCGCAAGCTTGCCGTCCGCCGCTGCAAGTCAACCACCACTGCAAGTTCTGGTTGCCACAACTCTTACTACTACCTACAAGTACTGGTCGCTGCTGCAAGTACTCACCATCACCGATCGTCGTTGGTTGATGTGTCGCTGTTGGACGCCGAGGGTACTGGTCACCGCAGGTGGTCGACAGGGTGTGAGGGTTGAGAGGAGAGAACTCAAGAAGGGTTAGAACGAAAATGGGTTCTAACCCTAAAGTTAAAGGAATAAACATTCAAACTGGGTTGGGGGATATAGAAGTTTTTTTTTTTTCATTTAAAACATTAAAAAGAAAAAGATTAACCAGCAAACCGCTGCCCAGGTCGAACGGTTTAACGATCCAACCGCCTGGGTCAACGGTTTTCTAATCTTTTCAACGGTTTTTAGAAATTTCCAGTTTTTAGTAAAACTAGACTTGGGGGGCTGACCGGTTATCGGTTTTTCCAGTCTAGTCCGGTTTTGAAAACCATGGAATAAGGTTCCCACCCCGCCCTGACCCCGATTATATATATATAATGATATTATTTATATATCAAAATATATTTAAAATATTATTTATATTTTAATTAATTATTTATTTTAAATAAATTTATTTTTCAAAAAACCCATCCACTCACTATCATATCAGTTTAAATGGTAATATTACAATCAAAACCAATCCGTAACTATTCCAACATTCAATTGACCAAAAAGAGAGAAGTATTAATCCATTAAACATAATCCCAACATTGATTTTGTAACTGGTAAGGTTATATTTGCCTTATAAATTGTTTTATTAGATATAATGCTAAAGCATTCGATAGGGGAGGTACTATTGCATTTTGAAAATAGAATGTAAGGATTACTATTTAACACAAAAATCAGGTGAGATTTAATTAGTGGAATTTAATGATATAAAAATATGTTAAATATAGAATTTAATGAGAGAAAGTGGGAGTTAAGCCATAGGAGCTATTCACAATTATATATATATATATATATATATATATATATATAAAGAGAGAGAGAAAGGAGAATAGCACAGCTGGAATAAACCTGTGTCACATATTGTTTATTTGCACAAAATATTATGTAATAATAATGGGCCGGGCCCAAGACAGGCAACAAATGATTACTATTGAGACACGTGAATTTCTAAACTGAGAGAAACAGCATGTACAAAATATTTCTGTGAAGGAAGCCATTTATATATGATCTGTTACTGTTAGTCCCCAAATGTTATCTCACTGGTACCTTGATACAAATGCACAAGAAAAGTGAGAAAGATCTAAGATGAAATTATAGGATTTTAATGTCCATTATGAATCACTGTCTGCTTCGACTTTCTGTGAGTCTTCTCCAAACCAGCTTACCGCAATACAATAATGTCAAGACTGCCAAGAAATAAAGGAGAGGAATTCCAATGATACAACCCCCAGAAGCGAGATTAATCAGTGTCTGAGATAGAAGAAGCTCAAGTCAGTAAGAGTAATTGCAACATTTTCCTTTTTTTTTTTAGTGGTAAAAGCAGTAATAATTTATTTTAAGTCATAACGCTGAGAGCTCATAGGAGATAGACGGACAGAAGCAAAAATTCTGCAATTGAAAGGATGAATATCAAAAACCTATTTGCTCTCCTTTTCGTGTTACTATGAGAGACAGTTTAACATGTTATCCTATATTTGTTTAATTAATAAACAGCTGGAGGAATAGCTATCTTAATTTCATCTGTAGTTCCTGTCTAACAACAGCAAAAATATCAATCCAGTTCTAAAGCATCACTGTAGTTACTAGTTCTAGAAGAAGAAAGGGCACAGAGGCAATTAAAAATTCCGGTACAATGTGCAGTTGGAAGACCCAATCTGATGTTATCCTAATTGGTTTGCTAGTTATGTTGTGCAGTGAAGTTCCTTGAAAAAAGTAACAATAATCAATTAGTGGAGCTCAAAACGAGTCCCCATGATCATCTCCCCACCCTTCATTCAAAGAATGAGTTTGGTTCGAGGCCCAAAAGGCCACAAATGTTTGTCTTGCTGGCCTCCAATCCATTCATGGGAAAACAACAATAAGCAATTAAAGATTGATTAATACTAAATTGATCAAGGAAAAGCTAAAATTCCCACTTTCGGGTGGTGTTAATTAAACATTATCCACACTTTGTGGGCAGAAAATACCCTTTATATTACTTAATTCTAATACTCAATAGAGGGGTTTGTGGGAACTTTAAATGCTTCCTCGTCTTCATCTAACCCTTCCGAGTTTTCTATAACCCACCATTAGTGTCGGGCTTTTTAGTTTCTAAACACAGGTGGGATGATTGGTGAGGGGCAAAAATATGAATGGAAATTACAGAAATACCCCCCATGTTAATGGCTAGTGTATCAATAAATAATGGTGTTTCTATCAACAGAGAAGTAGGGATAATGCCAACAGCACCTGTGAATGAGGTGCATTTAACATTGCCCAATTATCAAATATTACAAATTCACCATTCATGTCCAAAAATTTCCCTAATAGTATGAGGTTTATTTTAAGAGATAAACTGGTAGATGAGAAGATGTACATCAGCATCAAGGCTCACACAAAGGATCTCAAGAGTTACTTAGGCAAATAACTGTCAATATACAAATCTCAGAGAACCATTCAACCTAAAAGCTTAAGCTGTTAGATGAGGTCCTTGAATAGGTTTTTTTGTAATCAATAACAGTGAAATTTTATTAATGATATATAAAGTCTGAATTACAAAGGAAGGGAGCTAAAAAGTCTCAACACCCACCTACCCAAGAAACACCCTGACCATGCAATGATTACAAAACAGCCCAAAATAAGGTGTCTCTGTTTACCCCTTGCCTAGCTAGACCATCAGCCAATGCATTTGCACTTCTCTTTATCCATGTACACTGAATTTCCATGTCCTTGGTTAGCCACTTAAACTTCCTCTTTTCATTGTTGTATTCCCAAATCATAGAACTGTCCTCTTTTAGCCAATTCACCACAGTTTCAAAATCACCTTCTATAAGCACCTTTTTGATATTCATTTCCTTAACCCTTTGTATCCCTCTCCTAAAATCTCAGCCCTCAATGAGTCTACCACCCCAATCGGCCTAGAGTACATGGCTAACAAATTCCCTGTTTCATCCCTCATCACTCCCCCTATTCCGGAAGGCCCTGGGTTGCCTATGCTGCTGCCATCAAAATTCAGTTTGGTAAACCCATGAGGTGGAGGAGTCCAGCAAGCTTTTAAAATCTTTCTACTTAAGCCTGAATCTGCAATCTCCTTCCAGTTCCTTAACAACTCATCAACTGAGAACACTTTAAACAATTCCAATGTTCTCAACCAATGTACCATCCTAATGTGGATGATCTCCATGATTTCTTCCACACTTATCTCTTTATTTGAGAAAATTCTTGAATTCCTCTCCTCCCACATTGTCCAACAAACTGCAGCTCTACCACACCTCCACATGATCTTAGCCCTTTTAGTTGGCCAATTAGGCATGGAGGAAAAAAAACTTGGTACATTCAAAGGGGGGATCCACCTGCATCCAAATAGAGAAGTAAACCATACCCAAATAGCTTTAACAAACTGACAAGATATTAGTAAATGGTATCTAGACTCACCATTGGACTTACAGAGAACACCAGTGAGCAGACAAGCAGCTGCTGGGTCTTTTCCTTTGGAGTAGATCCCTTGTATTAACTCTTCCCAGGAAGGCTTCCCAACAAAAACTCCCAACCTTTGGAGGTATAGGTCAACACCACACTTCTTTAACAGGGAAAGATGAACCAGCAAGATGAGAGGGTAACGGTGCTTTGAAAAAGGAGGCACAGGTGTAGGAACCCGAGAGAGTGATGTCCAAAATCTGCTATCTTTTTAGAAGGCTCAATGAATACCCCTTCAAGGATAGATAGTAAGGCTATAGTACAGGCAACCTCTGTGTCCCTAACATCTCTTCTCAGACTTAAATTCCAACTAAACCCAAAAGGTGAATTGGAAGGAACAAGAAAGGAGGAGACTGGTTCATTTTTTAGGGTAGAAATAGCAAAGAGGCCTGGAAATTGATCTTTCAAAGACGAATCCCCAACCCAAACATGTTCCCAAAATTTGATGAGGTTACCACAGTGCAAGTCATACCTAATCCATGGAGAGAACAAAGGCAAGATGGCTAGAATAGCTTTCCAAGGGGAAGCTCTTGTAGTCCTTGCTAGTATTCCTGAATCCCATCCATTATCTGCTAGCCCATGTATATTTCCCACTACCTTAACACACAACCTTTCTTTCTCCAATGAGAATCTCCATAACCATTTCCCTGATAATGCTAGATTCCTAGTCCTAATGTTTCCAATTCCCAACCCTCCCTCCTTTTTACCTCTATAGACCACCACCCACTTGACCCTATGATCCCTCTTCTCCTCCCCCGGCTCCCCATAGAAAATCCCTCGTTAGTTTTTCCAACCTACTGGCCACCTTAACCGAGATCCTAAAGACTGCCAAAAAAATATACAGGAAGGTTAGACAGAGTAGACCTGACTAAGGTGATTCTCCCTCCAAGAGACAAATAGTTTCTCTTCCAGTTAGCAAGTCTCTTTTCAAATCTCTCCACAATAGGGGCCCAAAACTCACCTCTCTGAGGATTATCCCCCAAAGGTAAGCCCAGGTAATTTAATGGCCAGTTAGAAACTACACATCCCAAAATGTCTGCATACTCACCAATCTCCCCTTCCCCCATATTGACTCCAACTATACAACTTTCCTCAAAGTTCACCCTAAGATTTGACATTTACTCAAAGAGTTGTATAATGAGCTTCAAAATTTTTATCCAAATGATATCCCCTCCTTCACAAAACAGAATCATGTCATCTGCAAATTGTAGGTGTGTAAGTGGTACATTATCTCTTCCAACTCTCCACCCTCTTATTGGCTCCCTAAAATCTGCTTTGGATATCAATCCCCCCAACACTTCAGCAACCAATGTAAACAAGAAGGGGGATAGGGGGTCTCCTTGTCTAATCCCCCTCAAAGATGGGAAATAGTCCACCACTGTCTCGTTCACCAAAATGGAATATTGACAATCCCTAATGCAACCCATCACCCATTTGCACCAGATGTCTCCAAACCCAAAGTTAATCATCACCTCCAATAAGAAAGACCAATCAACCAAATCATAAGCCCTTTCCAGATCTAGTTTGCAGACCACACCTCTTCGCCTGGATCTCTTATAATCCTCAAGACTCTCATTTGCTACAAGTATGTGATCTGTTATTTGCCTCCCCTTCACAAAAGCTCCTTGATTGTTTGATATGATAGTTGGTAGCACCTTCCTGATTCTAATTGACAGCACCTTAGTGATGATCTTATAGAGGCTATTAACTAGACTGATCGACCTGTAGTCCTTTGGATGGCTTGCATCACTTTTCTTGGGTACTAAAGCAATGAAAATGGAATTTAGATCAGGGTTAATCACTCCTCTGGTATGGAATTCATTGAATACCAACAATATGTCCTCCTTTAGTATCTCCCAACAATCCTAGTAAAACGCCATCGTAAAACCATCTGGGCCCAGTGCCTTTGGTCTAGCCATTGAGATGACTGCCTCTTTTATCTCTTCCAACTCCAATTTCTTTTCCAACCACTCCCTATCTTCTCTCTTCAATGTTAGCCAATCCAAACCTTCCAGCTTCTCTCTTCAATGTTAGCCAATCCAAACCTTTCAGCCATACCCTATTATTCAGTGGCCTTCTAAATATATGCCCAAAATGACCTGCAAATGCTTCCGCAATTTCTCTCTGACTTGTAACTGTTTCCCCTTCAATCTCCAATCTAGTAATAAAAATTTTCCTCCTGCCACTTGCCAAAGCATGAAAAACTTAGTGTTCCCATCCCCCTCTTCTAGCCACCTGCATCTTGACTTCTGCCTCCAACTTATTTCCTCCTGAAGAACATAATCCTCTAACTGTTTCCGCAATCTCCATCTTTGTTCCTTATCCTCTACAATTAGGCCTCCTCTCCCTTCTTTACTATCCAAGTCCTCAATCTATGTGATCACATTCTGTTTCCTTTCCTCCAATCTCCCAAATTCCAGTAGATTCCATTCCTTGATTCTCCCTTTCAGATATTAGAGCTTTTTGTGAAACCTCATCCCATACCACACCACTGCTGGATTGCTCTCTAACCACCACTCTTCAACCTTCTTAATGAACCCTGGGTGCTCTAACCACATGCTCTCAAATCTAAATGGAGTTGGACCCGCATTTCGCACCTCCTTACAAAGTACAATAGGCCTATGATCAGAGGTCACCCTCGGGAGTGCTCTAGAGTTCAGATTCCCCCAATGTTGTTCCAGAGCATTAAAAAATAAGAATCCGTCCAGCTTAGAGCAAATTGGGTTGGTTTGGAGATTGGACCATGTATAACACCTTTGTGACAATGGGATTTCTTTTAATTCAAAGGCCTCAAT